GTGCGACCCGCAGAGCTTCGGGGGACGGCAGCGGTGCTCCCGGTGCCTGTCAGCACGCCGGGACCACGGCGAGCGGGAGCGCTGCCCTCGCGGCTCCCCGTGGGTGTCCCCGCCGAGTTCCCCGGTGAGGGGCTCCGCTCTCAGCCTCCCTGAAGCAAGCGGGCGCTCGGCCCCGCCGCAACCGGCGGAGCTGAGGGTTCGGGGTCGGGGGGAGCTGCGGTGCCCCTCGGGGTGGCGGGATCGCCACCGGCTGCGCCGCGGCCGCCATTTCCAGGAGGACGGTGCCACCTATGGAAAGCACCTGGAATTAATCGGGGCGGCGGGAAGTGTCGCGTGTCCGTGCGGCGCCCTGGGGACGAGCCCGGGTCGTGCCCACCGCTCTCCGCGCCCGTGCTCCGGGCCCGAGCCGGGCCGGACTGAACCGAAGGCGCCAGACGGGGCTCTGCCGCCCCGGTTGGCGGGGTCGCTGCTGCCTCCAGCACCTGATGCCAGTGAGGGGGGATGTCCCGCTCTGTCTCGGGGCTGCTCACCGGTGTCGTTCCTGCACCGTCTGGCAAAGGCCACGATAACCGGTGCATAACGGCCGACGGGGCGGAGAGCAGCGGCTCTGCCCATTACCCACAGCTTCGCGGTGCTTCACGTGCTCCAACTAGCACAGCCTGGAGTGGGCATCCCCCAAATCGGAGGCTCTGCAGAGCCCTTCCCACCGTCTCGGCGGCTCCATCCCGAGCCCCGGAGGAGAGAGAGCAGCACCCTCAATTCGATGTCAATTTTAGTGTGAGGTGTCCCTGCCCGTGGCAGGCGGGTTGGAACTAGATGGTCTTAAGCTCCTTTCCGACCCTAACTATTCTATGTCAAATAAGTGCATACGGAAACTTCCTCGCACGCGAATGTCTGGGTGCGGGAGCGGGAAGGAGCGGCCCCGCGGGGCAGCGCTGCACGGGTACTCCCGGAGACCTCATTTCTGCGGTCCGGGCACCCCCAGGACCCCGCCGGCAGCAGAATCGGTAGCACCGGGGAATGCGGAGCTACAGGCGAGGCGGGAGGCCCGATCCCACCAGCAGCGAGCCCACGCCTGACCGCAGCCCCGTGTATGGCCGCGTCTCCTCTCCTGCTCCAGCGTCGGGGGTAGGTGCCGCAGCCCGGGGTTGGTCGCTGCCTCTCTGCTTCGCCCCAAGTGGCTCGGAAACGAAAAGGCAACGGGGGGGGCGGCCAGGGTGACCCAGACCAGGTGAGGGCGGGGTCCGGCGGGGCGCGGGGTCCCCGAGTCCTCTCCCGCCCCACCGGGACAGCCCGGCACCGGCCCGGGGCAGCGTGGATTTGCCCCGGGGCTCGTCCCTGCTCCGTTCAGCAGCAGGTGGAGAGAATCGTTTTCCCAGCTGGCTCAGGGACGGGACAGGACCGGGAGAAGCCCAGAGCGGAATCGGGGAGCGGGGAGGATCGGGAAGCGGGGACCTGCCGCCCCCAGGGTGCTGGTTGGTGTCCACACACGCAGGGATCTCTCGTGGAATGAGGCTCCGGGGCTTGTTTTGCCCTGTCCGGCGGTACCCGCTGCCCGGCGGGGCTGCAGGGTGCCTCTCCCGGGGCGGGAATTCCTGCCAGGCTGCGGGGTCTGTTCGGGACCGGGCAGGCGGGGGGCTCACTTTGACTCGGTCCCCGCTTTCCCCCGCGGCTGCAGCGCTGGAGCCATCCTCGGTTTGCCAGGAGAATAGGACATGGGGGAGCGCGACCGTGGCGTGAACGTGTCTGCGACCGACACCGGCATCCTCTGCCGCTCAGGGAACCGGGCCGGCCAGAGAGCTGGGCTCGTTGCTGGCAGTTCTGGGTGCGGGTGTCCGTGGGGCGGAGCAGCTTCCAAAGCACGGCCACCGAAGCGGACAGAAGCCGCAGGGATCGATCGCGACGATATTTAGATCGGATCACCCTGTCCCCCGCCTCGCCGCTGCGCTCGGACACGCGTGCTCGCCCCGCTGCCCCACGCGCTGTCCCGGGGGGTGCAGCAGCCCCCGGTTTCGTTGCAAATCCCGCAGCCGTGGCAGCCCCCGCGGTGCAAGAAACGAGGGTGGGAGCCGGACGCTGTGACCCGCGGGGACTCGCTGACAGCCGAGAGGCTCATCGCACGAGTACGGGCCGGGGTAGCGGAGACCCGGCAACAGAGGAGCGGATTTGGGGTCAGGTGGACTGAACACGGGGTTCTCATCGGCGGCACCCGCCCTCGCCGGGCCGGAGTCGCCTCCGAGTCCCCTCTGAGCCCCGGGTCTCCTGGGGCATGATCGGGGCCGGCGGCGTGGGAGGGGTGCAGAGGCGACAGCCCTCCCCTGGCTGAGACTCCTTGGGGCTCCCGGGCAGCTTCTGCCGTTAACCCCGGGAGCGCGGAGGGCCGCCGTTGTCCGGGCTCCGCTCCTGGACCCAGTGACCCAGGAGGGCGGGCGGGGGTCCAGGCATCGCCTCCGACCCCCGGTGAAGGGCATCCCTGAGTCCCCGCCGGCAGCGGGGGGAACTGCCCTGGGGAGCCGGAACCATCGCTCCGCCGCTGTCGCGTCCCCCTGCGCCGGGTCTGCTCCGTCCCGCTTCTCCTTCCGGGCCAAGACTCCCATGCGTGGCCGCAGCCCCGGCCCTGGCTGGCCTGCGGCCCGTGGGCACCCTCCGGACGCCTACGCACCGGCGGTCTCTCCTCGCTGCTTCCACCGCGCCGTTCTCGTTTGCGACACTCCCCCCCCCCCCCGCCCTAAACCGGGGGCCAAGCACAGACCACGCGTGCATCCCGCGCCGGTCACGGCTGGGGACGGAGCTGTTCCCTCGGCTCGTGCACGCACTGGCGGAGGCGAGAAACGGGGCCGCTCCGCTCTGCCTCCCCACGCGTGGATGACGGGCGGCTGCTCAGTCGGGAGCTCCGCTGCTCGCCACGGCTTCAGTGTGGGGACCGTCGGCTCCGGGACTGTGCTTCTCACCGGCACCGGGTCACCGGCAGCGGGTGTGGAGGGCGAACACCCGTTTCCACGGGCTGCGGCACCCCACGGCCACGGGGATGGGCGCTGCCACCTCGGGAGCCCCGAGCAGCGGACGAGGCTGCGGCACGGGCACCGTTCGGCACAGGAAGACCATCAGCGCCCCTCGGGCCGGGCCTCCCTCCCGTTGCCACCGTATCGCTTTTCTGCGTGGCATCATCCCGGTATCGGGACTCGGCCGCCGCATCTCCACCCATTCACGAGGCGCTCCGCGACCGACCTTAATTAATAACGATTAATTCGATATTAACGAAAATCTCCCCCGGGCGTTGCTCGCCAGGGAGTGCCCCCCCCGCACCAGCGCCGCGCCGGCCGAAACGCGGGGGAGGATGGACCCCCTCCTCCGGTGAATGCAGCTTCAGCTCCACCAGCGGCGGCGGGAGGGCAGGCTCTGAGCCCCGCGAGTACCCCGGGGAGGCTCCCACCCGGGTGCCCCCAACGCAAGGGAACCGCGGTTTCCGTGGCTCCGTTGGAGGTGCATGGCCGCTGGTGTGGCGGGACCTTGCAGGAGCTCCAGGACACAATGATCGTCGGGACGGGGACAACGCCGGTGCCTGCCGGTCCCCGATGCCGGTCCCGGTGTACCCCGGTGCCGGTGCTTTCCCCCGGTGGGGTCTCAGGCCGGCGGAAGGCAAGTGCTCTGCAGCCCCTGCACTGGGCAGCCTCACAGGGGACCTGGTCCTGCAGCCACGAGTGATTCGACGTCCCCCCCGCGGCAAAACGCCTCCAAAGCAGAGCTCCGGGTGGGGGAGCCACGGTCTCATTATGGGGAAACAGGAACAATCGGATCCCAGGGGCCACGCTCACCGTGGGATCTTCCACGCGTGAGCACGGCGGCCTCGAGGTGCTTAAAGGAGGAGATACGCGGGGAAGGTGTGTGACCGGCTTAGGAGAGACTTCACCTGGCCTCATCCTGCGTGGACGCGGCGGCTGAAGCCCGCTCTGCACCGGGGCTTGGTACTGCGGGTCCCACGCACGGGACAGCCCCAGGAGCGGGAACTGTGCCCCTCGGCTGGACCGGGGCTCTCCGGAGCATCCCCCAGTTCGGGATCTTGCCCGGCTTCGGGCGGGGAAAAGGTCGCTTGGGGCTTTTGCTCTCCCGGAGGCTGGACCCGTTCCCTGCGGCTCTGACACGCGTGTCTCGGATTCCCGTGGTCTCCTCGGGGACGGACTCGCGGTGGGAGACAGCGACGGCACCCGAGTGGGACGCGGTACGGCGAGGGGAGGAGGAGAAAGGGGGGTAGGCAGGTCCCGGTACCAGCTGCCTGCCCCGCGCTGGCACCCGTTCCCCCATCCCATTTTGCTGAGGGGTAACACGGCGAGGGGGGTGACACCAGATTCCGTGTGGGGCTGTTTTCTCCGTTGGCCCCGGTGCACCTTCGGCTTCCAGGGGAGCGGAACAGGGGCGGAGAAACCGGGGTCGTCTGATCCACGCTCTGCCGGTCCTCTCTGCTGTCGCCGTGGACGGATACCCGCCGCCGCTCCAGGGCAGGGTGGGTTGTGCGGGAGCGTTCCCACCCCTGACACCGTCCCCTTTGTCCGCACACCGCCCGCCGCACCGGGCCGCAGAGCGCAGGGGGGCGGCCCACGGTGTGTGTGTGTGTCCCGGTCCGGTCTACCCCATCCATGTCCCGCCCCGCACCGGGTCTGCGGGGGGCAGCGGCAGCGCCTCCTCGCTCTCGCGGGGGGGGCTGTGTCTTTGTGCTCCACTCCCCCCCCTCATCCCGGATCCTCTTCCCCGCACCGGGTTTGCCCCCCCCCGATCCCCGGGAGCGGCGCGGCGGGGGGGGGCGTGTCCCTCCCGCGCGGGGGAAGGGGGCGTGTCCTCCTTCCCGCCCCGCCCTCCCCGCGCGCCCCCGCCGCCGGCTCCGCCCCGCGCTCATCGGGACGCGGCGCACGTCGGGGGGCGGGGCCGCGGCGCGAGCCAATGCGGCGCGGGCGGAATATTCCACCCGGCTCCGCCAGCAACAAGTGCGGGGGGGACCGGGGGGGCGGGCGGCCGCGGCGCTGACGTCAGCGGGCGGAGTATTATGGTCTGGGCTGCGCTGGCGGCTGCCTGTGTGCTGCGAGCGGCCGCGTAAACATGGAGCTCTCGGCCGTCGGGGAGCGCGTCTTCGCGGCCGAGGCCCTGCTCAAGCGCCGCATCCGCAAAGTAGGTGCCTCCCCCCGCCGCCGCGGGGCACCCCCGCGCCCCGCACCGCGAGCCCCCGGCCCCCGGCCCCGCCGCCGCGGCCCGGTTGCGGCTGGGCGCCCGCTGGGGGCGGCTCTTTCTCCGCGCCGCATGCCCGGGCGGCCCCGCTGCCGCCCTCCGCGCCTTCCTGATTCTCATCAGCCTCGCATCTTTTCGTCGCGCTCCCCCCTTCCCCTCCGCCTCCCGCCCCGCTCCTCCCGTCCCCTCCCTCCCGCCCCACGCGTGGAACCGCGGGCGGGAGCTTTGTTGCGGGCGCCCGTCGCCGTTTTGCCTCCGTGCGGGTTCGTTTCATTCCTCTCTTTGCATCCGCAGGGGCGTATGGAGTATCTGGTCAAATGGAAGGGCTGGTCGCAGAAGTAAGTCCGGGTCCGAGGGCTCCGGGAGCGGGGGGTGGCCCCTTATTTATACCCCGTATTTTCAAACTGATTTATTTACGCCCCTCTCCCTGCACTGCCTGCGCAGGTACAGCACTTGGGAGCCCGAGGAGAACATCTTGGACGCCCGTCTGCTCGCAGCCTTCGAGGAGAGGTACAAGGCCTTTTGCTCGCTGCAGCCCTTGCGCTTGTAAATATGTTGCTGTCTTGTAGCTATGCTGAATTGAAGCTTTGTTTTTTTTAACACCTCTAGGGAGCGAGAAATGGAGCTCTATGGGCCCAAAAAGCGAGGCCCCAAGCCCAAAACCTTCCTGCTGAAGGTAAGGAGGTCGGAGCCCCATGTGTGCTGGCTGCGTGCCGTGATGGGGAGCGGGGTCCCCTCAGCCCCCGTGGAGGGTCCTCCTCACCAAAGGCAGCCTCTTGTCTTGTAAGTTGTAATTACACAGCCGGATGGCAGGATAATAAAGTCACCCGTTGATTTATCTCCTTTGCAGGCCCAGGCGAAAGCAAAAGCCAAAACCTATGAATTCCGCAGCGACTCTTCCAGAGGGATCCGGGTGCCCTATCCCGGCAGGTCCCCCCAGGAGCTGGGCTCCACGTCCCGCGCTAGGGAAGGACTGAGAAACATAGCCTTGGCTCCGCAGGGCAGCTCCAGCACCAGCACCCCTAAGGGAGACAGCATCCGGGACCGGGTGATCCGCGTGGAGGAGAAACCCGGGGAGATCCCCAAAAAGAGAGGCCCGAAGCCCAGGAAGGAGCTTTACAAGGACCTGGCAGAGACTCTGGATGCTTCCAAGAGGAAACTGGGGGATCCGGGGGACAAGGTGGGGGACTACCTGAAGGCCAGGAAGATGGAGGAGGCAGCAGCAGGAGCCAAGTTCAGCTCGGGGCACAGCGTCATCCAGCTGGCCCGGAGGCAGGACCCCGACCTCCCTGGCACCTTGCCCGGCCCCAACCGAGCCGAGGTGGGCACCAAGCTGGGCGCCGGTGAGAGCTACCCCCCACGGCTGGCCAAGCACCGCGCGGACTTTCTGGACCCCAAGGGGCAGGGGGGGCTGGACCCCGGCGGGCCCAAGCTCCTGCACGGCGCGGTGAGTCCGGGTGCCGTGGGCAGCCTGTACCGTGATGGCATGGGGGGCCAGGCGGGGCGGCCCTCCCTCATCGCCAGGATCCCCGTCTCCAGGATCCTGGGGGACCCTGAGGAGGAGTCCTGGAGCCCCTCGCTCAACAACCTGGAGAAGGTGGTGGTAACTGATGTGACCTCTAACTTTTTGACCGTCACCATCAAGGAGAGCAGCACGGACCAAGGATTCTTTAAGGAGAAGCGATGAATTTGTTGGAGGTGGTGCTGGGGTTTTCTTTGGTCAGATCCAAACAAAAGCTTGGGTAGAGCTTGGTGGGCCTTTTTTTTCTTTTTTTTTTTTTTTTTAATTTTAATTTTTTTTTTTTTTTGTCTTGGAGAGGATTTAGAAACTGTCCTAAATTCATCAACTCCTTCTTTATTCTTTTGGGTTTTTTTACGTCTTACATTTCGTTGGAAAGATTATCTCTAGAGTTATATTTTCTATTAGATGTAAATATGTTATTTAAGAAAAAAAATGCTTATATATATATATCTATATATATTTCAACTCTGAGTTGTTTTATTTAAATGGAGACAACGGTGACTGCTCAGTTGCTCTTAGAAAGGACAATAAAACTGAGAACTAACGGAGTTCACGCCTCTCTCGCAGGAGCCCGTGTACATAACCATGTTCATAGCGAATTATATGTCCTGGGTTGGTTTTTTTTAAGCTCTTCTTTTTTCCTGTGATGCTAGGGATGGTGCAGGGGGACGTTGCTCCCTCCGAGGGCGGAGTGCCCTGGTTTCTTGATTGTGATATAAGGTGTTGCTTGTACAATCAAGTGTGTGCTGTGTCCAGAAGTGTTGCCCTGACGGCTGAAGTAAGCACTTGAATTTCCAGTGTTGTTGGGGAGGGGGCGTTTCCAGGCTGATGGAGAGAGAGGAAAAGAAAAAAAAGGGATGTTGCTAAAAGTCTGGGTGGGGAAAAGCAGAAATCCATAAAAAGGCTCAAACTGTTCTCGCAGAGTATTAACTTGAATCACCTTTTCTTGCCAAGGCAGAGGAGGTTCCTGTGTGTGAGGTTCCGGAGCGGGGTGGTACTGAAATGCACTTTAATAGAGTTGTCGTAGCAGTTGTGGGAGATGGGACTGAGCTGAGAATCTGTTTTCATTTTATCTGGTTGCTTGATTCTGTTCCCCCACCCACTTCAAAAAAGAAACCCCAAACCCCCTCTGTTTACATTCCTGGCATGCCGGAGGGGCTGGGGAGGGTAGCATGTCGCTGCCCGTATTTAAATGCTTTATCCCATTATAGAAAGTGGATGATTTTAATGTTTCTTGGTTTTTATTCCCAAACACAGTTCACTGCAGACTGCTGGAAGGCTCCAGTTCAAGTGTGTTATAATACCCACATCTCTGACAAATCCCAGAGCCACCTTTATGCGTTCAGAGACAATAAATATTTCCCTTTTCTTATGCTAGTTAAACAATAGCCGAGAGGCGAAATATTCCCGTGCGTACGCAGCTGATCCGGGCCTGGCTCTGGTTCCTTTGCCTCTGTTTTCTCCAGGCTTTCCAGACCAGGCTGGGGCAGGGTTTGTGGCACTGGGTGCCTGCCTGGCCAGGTTGAGTGGTGGCCATGGGGGGGATCAGGGGGCTGCGTCCCCTGCTCCGCTCCCTCCTGCTCACCTGGCTCGGTTGCAGTCTGGCCTGGATGGGGAGCAGGACCCTGGCCTGTGCTGTGGTTTTGGTTGAGGTGCAGCGGGTGCCCCTGTCCTTGCTCCGAGCATCGCTCAGGTTTGGAAAGCACAAATTGATGTTGGGTCAGGTCACACTATTCCCTCCTCATCACTGCCTCAGCTGAGCTCCAGAAGGTTCTTGGTGCAGAGCTCTATGGGGTGACAGCACAGAGAGCCTGATGGGTGAGGAAAGGGCTGGGAAGAGGAGCAGTTCTTTGCTTTTTGGGCCCATCTTGCTTGGTTGCCTTCTTGTGGGATCTCTGTTGGATGGTCTAGTGGGAGAACGCTGAATTGGCTGTGCAGAGGGAGCATGTCTCTGAGTTCTATGTTGGTTTTTTTATTTTTTAAGGTTTTGTTTTGTTCCTTTTTTTTTAAGGCATATTTTGTAAAAACTGAGATTTTTAAACTGATTGTACTGAGAACCAATGTGCTCGTTTTGGTGCTGGTGCTGGGGCAGCTCACAGGGGACATGTGTCTTGTTGGAGGGATGGTGATGGGACTGAGCTGCCCCTCCTCCCACTGCCATGTCTGAGGTTGGAGGATTCTTCCCCTTGCAGAAGAGCCCAGAGCCGTGCTTCTGCCCGGCCAAGACATGGCTCCATCTTGCCTGTACGTGTGCGTCGCGACACACGTGTATATGGGGCAAAACGTACATGTGGGTGTATATGTGTGTATGTATATAGCAACGTATATACTGAGTGTGTGTGCGTGGGGATGTGTGTGTGTGAACTATTTAAATCTAAGACTTGTATAAAAACCCGATTTGGCTAAATCTCAGTCTCTGAAGTGAAGCTTAACTACGTGTCTTCTGCCAGCTGTGAATGTCCGTATGAGACCTGCTTTTTATGTGAGTTTAAATATATACTTTGTAAATAGAAATGTGTTTGTCTTCCCTTTGTGACCCTGGGCCGAGAGGGGGGCTTGGGACCATTGTGTGCTGGGGCCCGATGGGGCGGGCAGCCCCGGGGCACAGGTGGGGCGGGAGCAGAGCGGGCGGTGATGGGGGTCTGGGTCGGTCCCGCGGGGCTACCGTTGCGCCGCTGGCAAAGGCAGCCGGGTCCCGAGGCCGCTGCTCTGCTCTGCCCTTCCCTTCCGACGGGGCGCGGGCGCGGCAGGCCGGGCCTTTGTATTCGAATAGGCCGCGGAGGGGAGCGGAGCGGGGTCGGGGGGGTTTCAGCCGTGTCCTCATTAACCTCCTTTTTCTGCTCCGCCGGCGCAAGGCGCGGACCCGGCACCGTGGGAGCTGTCAGCGGCGGGGCGCGGAAAATGAGCGTCGCGGAGGAGCGGGAGAAGGGCCGGACAATGGCGCCTTTCTCCCGGCCCCGCGGGAGGGCTTTCACGGGGCCCGGCGGGGAGGGAGGGGGCCGGACGGGGAGGGGGCACCGGCTGGTGGAGCCCCCGCACGCACCCGCAGGAGCAGGCTCCCCCCGTGCCCGGGCACCTCCCCCAGGGCTCCCCTCTTCCCCGACGGCGACCCCCGGAGCCTCCTGTGGCCGCGCAGCGCCCTCACCGGGCCGGCCCCGGGCCCGCGGGTGGGGGGTGACCGGGTGCCCCCCCCCGGCCCGTGCTGAGCGCAGCTCCAGATGCAGCGGAGCCGACGGACCGTTCATCACCGCCCGGTAAGAGCTGGGCTGCGGGGGGGGGGGGGGACCCGGGAATGGGAGCATAGGGGGTGTCCCCGATTCCCGTCAGCCTCGCGGAAAGTGGTTCCCCGGGGGATGCGGGAGGCTCAAGGCAGTGGCAGCCCCGTTGGGGGTCTTTGGCCTGGAGCAGTGACCACAGCAGCCCCACACCCATCCCGCTCCACAGAGCCCTTTCCCTTTCCCAGGGTAATAACATCTCCAACTTTTGTTCTCTGGAAAGAAAAGCAAACAAACAGCTGTAGTTTAAAGCAATTATAGGTGTCATACAGGAGTGATTTGGCTCTCCCTTTAATTAAAACGTACGAATCAGAGCAGTGACTGGCACAAGTTACAAGAACAATTGTTTGTTTTCACCCATTCCTCAATTTCTTTCCATAAAAACCTTCTTGCCGGCTCTGGATCCTTCACACCCAGCCCAGGAGCTCCCCACAAACTGAACCCTCTAAACCATCTCCATCCTTCCACAAGCTCCAGGGCTTTTTTGGTACAAAATATATATATAAAAATAGACTAAGTTTCTAGGGAAGATGGCTGAATTGGCCACCTCTTCCAGTCCAATGGAAAACAACAAGTCTGCTTAACCAGATTATGCCTGGAGAACATATCCATTCAATATACAAATACTGCAGGACTTTCCACATTGGAAAGCCCTTAGAAAATGACAAGTGACAAACCTTTAATTGGCTGTGTGACACACGGCTGAGCGCTCCAACCCATAGCAGCAAACTTAAAAGGGGAGGAGGGGGTTGATGAGGGGAAAGGAAAAATAAGGTAGACCTTGAATACTAATGGTCAGGATGGTGAACAGGGTCTGCAGCAGCTTTCAACCCCTGGCCACAAAAGGTTACAGTAAATCACTCACATAATGTGCCTTTGAGAGGCAAACTCCAGCGTTCAGACACAGCAGCGCCGCTGGGCAAGCCGGGAGCCTGAGACATGAGGCCAGGAGGGGCTGGGGAAGAACATGAGAGGAGGCGAAGGTCGGAAAACCGTCTGGATTATCACGTTCACCATCCTTAGACCTTTGGAATCGAACTGCTGGTGAGTAAAAGGCACAATAGCAAGCGGTGACAGCAGAGTCCTGCTGCTATGGGAGGGGACACGTTGGGGAAGGGTGGGTGACGGAGGAAAGCTGCTCGCTGTCAGGATGTTCCCCTGGGTACAAGCCCAGGACCAGCCACCCTTTGCCCATCCAGGAGGCAGGACCACACCATTTCCCACACCAGGAAATGCAGGTGAGCACCTTGGAGACAGTGTGTAGCCAGCACAGCACCCACTACCACAGCTCCTCCATGGATGCTCGGTGTCTGACCCCTTCATGGAGCATCTACAGATGCTTCTTCACCACTGGGGACATCAGCCCCATGTTCTATTGCTCTTGGTGGGCATGCCCCACCTCTGGGCATCTCACTGGGAGCCAGGCACCACTGTCCCCAGGACCCTGTGAACGTCTCACTTTGCATAGGCACAAACCTGTTGTGGGACCGGTGTCGCAGACCAGGCTGAGATAAGGACGGTCCGAAAGGCACATCATTGTTCAGTTTGGATTTGCAAAGGCCAAGTAGCAAACATTTGGTGTGTGGGTAAGAGCCTCACCCCGTGCTCCCAGATTACTTGATTCTTCTCCAAAAGCACTCGTATCCTGAACACAAAGCCCACCCAGCAGAGACCATGCCGGAGCACCTGGTTCTGCTGATGCAGGTTAACGCTTCCTTGGACTCTTCAAAGCAACGGTAGCTCGTTTGGCAATGTTAAAGACTAGAAGGTCAACAGCACAGACTGTGACATTTGGCATTGTGGAGCTCAATGGGAACTCCATCCTTGGGAGTATCCTCCATGGACAGCTCCATCCTTGGGAGCCTCCTCCATGGACAATGCTCCCTCCTCTCCCCTTGGCCCTTTGCCTTGCAGAGCAACGCATGGCACAGCAACTGCAGACATTCCTGACAGATCCCTTGCACCATAACACAACTTCAAAGCCATAACCAACAGGACATCTGGGGATTGAACACAAAAGCTAAGGGATAGTCTGTGGAGCACTGGAGACTGATCCAGCAAAGGCTGTGGCCACTGCTCGGTACCATTCCTCCGTCCATCCATGCAACCATCCATCTCTTGAAGATCCAGGCAGCACATGCAGCCAGTGCTGGCATTTCCATTTCACCTGAGAACTGCAGTTCCACCAGCAGCAAATGCAACTGCGGTGTGTGTGGGGGCAGGATTACCTGTACGTGCAGTTTGGTCCATTCATCTCTACACTCCTGTATGTGATGACCCTGTGAATGTCCCTGCCTGTGGCAAAGCAAGATACCCCAAGCATGTGGGGAGCCCTTTGGAGGCACCTCCTAACCTTGTTCAGGCTTTCTATCTCCCCTGAGAACAGAGTTCAGCCATAGCAGAACATAAATGACCTCGAGTGCTACTAAACTCTGCCTGAATTACTGCTGCTAATTTTGGCTCATAAGAGGAATCTACGGTAGGGAAAAAAAACCTCCATAAAAAGCCATTATTGGTTGCAATCATGAGCCAAAATTAACACCCAGCTGCTGGGACAGGATGTTAAAACAAAGGTGAATGGCTGCTGCAGGGTCTCCATCTCCTCGGGGACAACGGCCTCAGGTACCCACTGCCTGCTCCCTGCCCCTTCTCCTTTCCTTCCCCTTTCCAAGCCACCCGTGCAGAGCTCCTCAACCAGCTCCTCTGAAATCAAGTCACTGTGAAGAAGTCAGCAGCTCTCCCTGGCTCCCAAGGTAGGACTGCAGGCGGTAAAGAGGTACCTGCTAACAGCATCTCTTGCTCTGAAAGAGGCTCCTTTGACGCCTGCCGCCGGAGGCACCGGGGGTTCAGCCTTCCCTCGATGGGGTTTGTTCCTCTCCCTCAAAGACAAAACCAGGATTTTTCCTTACTAAAAAATGTAAACAATATTTCCCTATGAGCTGGAAACCACAACAGGAACGTCGTGGACTTCATCATTGGAAGTGACCTGGCCCAGGGGGGTGCTGGGCTGAGCGTACCCTGAAAAACCCCCGGATGCAGCTGGCCCCAGGGCTGGGAGCAGCGGCCGCCTCGTTTGGATTGACCTGAGACTCGCCACGGCGCAGGGGCAAATACATGGGGAGCCCAGAGGAAAGAAAGGGATCTCCTCTTGCTCTCCCGAGTAGAAGCCTGGCCTGTCTCCTGCTGCTGGGGAGCTGCAGACCTTGTCAGCAGCTGTGCCAAGGTCTAAAGCAAAGGAACCCACATTCAGTGAAGCCTGGCTCAAAACTTGCCAGCCTGGCAGCCCCGGTAGCACCAGTGCCCCTGCTCCGGGAGAACAGCATCAGCTGCTTCTGCTCCGGATGCTGCTCCAGGTGAGGATGGGGAGAAGGCGGGAGGGATCCATCGACCCGCTGGCAGTTCTGAGCAGGTTTCACTGCGCCTCTCTCAAGCTTCTCTGGACATGAGTCCCAGCAGGTCTCTGCATTCACTCGAAGAAAGAAAAACCCTGATGGAAGAGCCGGGCAAAGCGGAGGGAGAGGCTGAAGGACCTCCTTCCTCCTCTCCTGCTCCTGGGCTCAGTATTGCCGTAGGTTGAAAAACCCAACGCTGGTGGGGGATTCCTTGACCGTCACCGTGATCAGGTTGGCGGTGACATCGGTGACAAAGACGTGCTCGATCAGGCTGCGGGTGGGTTTCCAGTCCTGACTGGTCTGGATGGAGACAGACATGTTCTGACCCCCTCCTGGGAAGGAAGCCGAATCCCGGTCCGAATCTGAGCTGCTCTCATCACCCGTGCTCATTTCGGACAGAGCTGCTGGCTTGCGGCTATCCGCGGCCGCGTGCCCATCCTGCGTGCTGGCTGCACCGCCTTTGGCCAAGTCCCTGTCTCCTGCCCGCTGCGTTTGCTTCTTGCTCTTGCTGCCGTCCCCTCCCGCGCCCGAGCTGGCAGCATTCAACCCAGTACCCACTGTGCTGCCTTTCACACCACCGGCACCCGCAGCTGTGCCACCACCGGCGCCTTTGGACGTGGCAGTGCAGTGGTGACGGGGGACGCTGCTCCCACCGGCCACGTTCGGCCCGTTTTTGACGCTCTGGAGGTTCAGAGCCTGGAGATTCAGCTCCTGGCTGGAGGCCGGCTGGGAGCCGGAGCTGGATGAGCTTGCAGGCATCTTACTGCCATTGTGCAGCGCTTGGCTTCCTGCAGCAAACCCTGACTTCTGGTCCCCTCCAGAGCCGCTGCTCAGAGCCTTAGCACTCTTGGGGCCCTGCGTGCTCAGCCCAAGCTCTCCAGATGCTTTCTGGTTCCTCATTTTTAAGTCCAGCCCTAAGCCGCTTTTACTGGCTGCCTGCGCCTTGAGCGCCAGCCTGCCCAGGGGTGAGCTCTCGGCCGAGTTCTGGCTTTGGGACATCCTGTTCATGTAGTGCACGATGGAGCTCTGCCAGCTGATGGCTCGGTTTGGGCTGGTGGAGCCGCTCTTCATCATGTTGGGCAGGTTCTCTGCTGATGACCCCCCCGAGCTGAGCCCAGCCAAGGTGCCTGGTGGGTCCTTCAGCAGGGCCATGCCCGAGCCCTGTGTGCCATGCTGGGGCTGCAGCTTCCCCATCAGCTTGCTGCTGCTGCCCATCTCCTTCCGGGATGTTTTCAGCACCTTTGTCAGGTTCACGGTCCTTCGGGCTGCTTTCTGCTCCGGGGGAAGAGGTTTGCGTCCGCGCTTCTTCCTGGAGCTGTCCTTCAGTTCGGGCTTTGCCACCAGGATCTGAGCTTTCTTCTGTGGTACCGGATGGGTCTCTCTGCTGCGGGAACCTCTCTTCGCTTCCAGGTCACTTTCATCCTCTTCATCAGAGGAGGAGGAAGAGGAGGATGTGGACGAAGAGGAGCTACTTGACTTTGTTTTTACAGGCATCTCTGGTTCCTGCAGAGCAATGGAGACAGGGAAAGTTAACACAAATCCCTGAAGAGCCGTTACGGACATTGCAAATCCTTTAGTGTTGCCTGTCTGGGTGCCTTGGGCACATACAGGCTCTTCCTCCATGTTGACTGATCTGTTCATCCTCTGTCATGAAAGAGTTGGGGAGCACACAGGGCAAAACCAACCAGGCTTAAATACCAAGTGGGACCCAGGGAACTCTCCTGTCTCCTTCTCCACCATTGCAGGGATGAAGGGATGTCCTCCTTGCAGGCATCCTCATCCCCCTACCCACCACTGCAGTTTCCAAAGCCCCTGCTGGCATTACTGCATCCTCACCACCCTCTGGAGCCCAAGCACCCGCCACACTATGCTGTGGACAGACACGCGTTGGTGCTCTCCAGTACCATCACGGCTGTGGGTTTCCACAAGCACCGAGACTCACCACATGTTTCCTGGGCCTGCCCCTGGGCCGCTTGCCTCTCTTCCTGTTCTGCAGTTCCTTCTCGTGCTCCCTGGAGAAACAACGATTGAGGACAATGTTTGCAGGGAAGAAAAACCATCCCAAACCAGCCTGGTTCCTCTCTTTCTTCTGGCATGAAACCCTCCCTTGCTGGGGATGCTGGAGGTTCAGGTCCCACTCCAGCACCTGGGCAGTGTCCTTAACTCATTCCAACACATGATCCTACAGGCTCCCAGCATATCACTCACTTGAACCCATGCTCTTATAGGCACACCATGCTCAAGTGCAGTCAAAGAGCCCTAAGAACTTGGAAACCCGGGGCCTTGGGAAGTTAAACTTCCCCACGTAGCAGCTGGATCATGCACCCTGTGAGGCTGGCACAGGCCAAGGGAAGAGCTGGAGCATGGATGTGATGCGATGCAAGAGTGTTTTCAGGGCACTAAGCCACTTTGTATCTCTGGTTAAGGATGGTGTTAAGCTGCACTACATACAGCTAGTTAAGCACCATGCTGTCTGCATTATCCACCAGATTCTATTCTTGAAAAATGGACCCAGAAACAAAATATAATTAAATCCTATCATAAACTTGCACAATTTTTTATTAACATGGAGCCAAAATATTTGGCAGCGCGGTGCTTACCACAGCCAGCTGGCTACCTTCCTACCTCCATGCCTGATCCCTGCTGTGCAATTGCTGCAGAACAATTGTGCTTCTGGGCAGAGGACACCATTTTCTCCCACTGTTACCTCCTTTCCCTCTCACAAGTGCCCTCCATGAATGCACTTTGTGCTGTCCAAGCCCCAGTCCTGCAATCCCCACTGAGGTCCCGGTCATTGGACCAGGACCGGGAGCCAAAGGTCTCTGTGGCATCATCGTGTCCCTGTTGCACAGCCAGTGCAAAGCCAGCCCTGGGGCTGTGGATCCGCGGGATCGCCCAGCCCGAGCCGTGCTGGGTAGACCTGGGCTGTGATTTCAGGGGTTGAACAAAAGGGCCGTGCCACAAAAGGCACGGGCCGAGCTCCGGGCTGTTGTTTCCACAACTTCCACTGCACGCGCAGCCAATTAGAAGTTAATTGACTTTATCGTTCCCTTAGAAATATTTAGAGTTCGCTCACTTCTTTTGGAAAGCCAGGAGGAGTCTTGGATCCAGGATGTTCTCCTCGGGCTCCCAGCTGTTGTGCCTGGAACACACGGCCCGGGGCTGAGGGAGAGCAGGGACTGGGGGTCCCCCCCCCGCCCCCAGAACCGGAAAGTTCACCCAAGGACAGCCGGGCCCTCCGTGCGCCCGGTGCTGCCGGGATCGGAGCACCCCCGCACCGGAGACCGGTACCGCGCGGGAGAAGGGGCCGGGGGAAGCGGGTCGGGGAGGGGGCGGCCACGCCGCCGAGGGGATGGGCGAGCCCCGCGAGTCCCAGGGGAGCTCCGGTGGCAGCGGGAGCGCGGGGGGCGCGGGGCTCGCCGGTAGCGGGAGGGGGTTCCCGGCCCGGCCCGGTGTGAGGAGGGGGCTTGGGGGCGATCGGAGCCGCACGCGGCGGCGGGAGGGCCGGGCCGCGGCCGCGCTTATTTGTAAACAAAAGGAGCGGCGCGACCCGAACAAAAGCGGCCGGGCGGGCGGCACCCGCGGCCCCGCACCGACCCGCGCAGCCCCCACCGCGCAGCCCCGCTCACTTGGAGGACCAGCCCCGCCACTTGACCAGGTACTCCAGCTTGCCCTGCGGAGAGAAGAGAGATGGCGAGAGGCGCGTTAGAGGCGGCGGGGGAGGGCGGCGGCGGGGGGGGATGTGCGGCGGGTCCCACCTTGCGGAGCCGCTTGCTGAGGATGCACTCGGCGGCGAAGACCTGCTCTCCCACGCTGCTCAGCTCCTCCATGGCCCCGGCCCCGCACGCACACACACACACAAGGGGAGCCCCCGGGCGCGCCCCCGATGGCGGCCACGCGCGCGCGCTCCCGCCTCGCCGCCCCCCCCCCATCGCCGCGTGCGCGCCCCCCGGCAGCGGGAGGGAGGGGGGCGGGTAGTTTGGGGGGGGCTCCCCAAATTCCCCACCGGCCAATGGGAAGCGGGGGGCGGGGCTTGATGGTGGCGGTGGGGGCAAAAGGGGGGGAGGCATTGTCTGCGCGCGACCCCTCCTCTTCCTGCGCGCGCGGGCGGAGCGGGACAATGGGGCGGGGGGACCGGGGCTTTGTGCCGGGGGGTGACCGGGAGGGACCGGGGGGGTTCCGCTCCCGCAGCCGAGGATCCCTCCCGGGGACCGAGCGGCTGTGGGGAGGTCAGCCCGGGGTCGGGGGCAGCCCCCGCTGGTCCCCGCCGGTCCCCGCCGAGCTGGAGCAGGCGGCTGTGGCGCGGCTCTGGTTCGGGGTCTGAGTCGGTTCTGGTTGTGGGTCTGGTTCGGGATCTGGTTCTGGTTGTGGGTTACAGTACAATAAAGCGTGTTTCCACGGGGGGTGGCCGTACCGATAAACACCAGCTCGCCGGGTCAGCCCCAGGCTTGGAGACAGCGGTGGCTTGACCCATTATCCTTCCCCGCTGCCGAACCGGGCTTAATGAGCCAAGCGGTGCCAGCAAACGGAGCTGTGCTACCGAGCCAAGCCGTGCCGGTGACCCGAGCTATGCTGGCAAACTGAGCCGCGCTACTGAACGTGCCGCGGCTGTGACCCCGCCGCAGCCCCGCACGCCACCGGGGCGTGCGAGGCAGCGTGAGGAGCTGCTACCCGGCGGTTGTGCGCGGTGGGCGTGGAGCGGTGAAATATGGTGCATGGAAGAAGATGAGTCAGCACCTCGGGGAGTTGGCAGCCGCCGGCCCGCAGCCCGCCGTTAACCGTGCCGGAGCCAGCGGGGAGTGAGGGGCCGGTGTGCCGGCAGCGTCGCGGTGGCTGTGGTGGCCCTGGGCTGAGCGGGACCTGGATGGAGATGGGGTGTCCTACGCGCGGGGCCTCACGTGGAACCTGGGCAGCACCGTCTCGGGTAAGCGATGCCGGGTGAGGCAAGTGCTGTGAGCTCCAGGGTGGAGGCAAGGATGTCACTGCTGGGGACTCCCGGCATGATGGAAGGGGAGCAGCAGCTTGGGTACCATAGTGGGGCAGCCTTGGGGTCTGCAGGGCAGTGGGTGCCCCTGGTGTGTCCCTGGGGTGCTGCTCAATGCAAGGTAATTGTCTGAGGTCGGGCACTATGCCTCTTTATTGTTTTCCTTTTGCAATTACTGCGGCTGTTTGCTGACCAGGAAAAATGTTGGAAGCATTTTGTTACCCAAAGGTGACTTGGAAACGTAACCCTGCGCTGCGCTTTCCCTTTGGAGTTAATTCACCTTCCATCAGCCCTGCTCTTTGTGTGCTGTGTGTCTTAATGCCTGTGGAAACCCTCTGCGTGCACAAGCAGCGTGTGGGCACACCACCGTTCATGGCAGCTCCAGGACCAACCATACTGAGTGTGTGGAGCTGGCCGGGGTCTGGATGCCAGGAGATGAGGCCCGATGTGGGTAATGTCGGGTGTGTGCTGGCATTCCTGTGCTCCCATGAGGATACAGGAGTAGAATAGCTCATCCCTTCCTGGAGCAAGGAGGAAGAGGTGGTGTGAGCAGGGGGGCTCTGTTCTCTGTGCCTGACATTGGGATCTCTTTGAGGACGGAGAGTGTGCTCAGGGCTGGTGCCTGGCCCCGGGGCTGTTTCAGCAGCTTCATTCCCACCATTTGTGCCAGCCTGGGTGGTTCCTCTCCATGTTTCTTTCATGCCTCTGTGTCAGCATGGACACAAGTTCCCTTTTAACCCTGTTGTAGAAAAGGACTGTGCTGCTCCATGGGTGGAAATCCCATTACATCGCTGGGGTTCACGGGGACCGGTTGCAGTGGGCACATGGGCCGTGGTGGGCTCCTGCTTCCTGCCGGCTCTCCCCAGCTGGGAGCTGCCCATTACTTTGTGTAGTTTGAAAGCTGGATGTGAGGGCTGAGGCGGAGCGGGTGTTTCCTCTAACACAAAGCACACCGAGCCCAGGCTGTGTCTGTTCTGCTTTCTCAGGCTGATCCCAGGTTTCCTGAGTTCTGACATCTTCAGTGGAGCTGTGTGGTGGAATGAAAAACCTCACTTTTTCTCAGAAAAGGGAAAAGAAAGAAACGGAATCGATGTGAGCTTTACAAAGCCCAAATTTGTGGCTTTGGAGGTTTACACAGACAGGCAGTGAACACAAACCCTGCCTGTGTTTCTGTGTCAGGATCTCGTGAGTTGTTGCACTGTGGCTCAGACCGTTTGCTCTTGGGCTCAGCAGTGAGCAAGTGAGTGCCGCTGCCCCCTCTTCCAACGCCAGGGGTGCCGGTCCCGCTGCTCGGCTTCCTCGGTGCCATTGCAGGGTGTTTTAGTGATGAAAAGATTCGAAGTTTTCCTTGAGTGCTTCCTGCCCAGCTCTGCCTCCTGCTGCTGCTGGGGAGATGCAGGGGGAGATGCGGGGGGAGATGCAGGGGGGAGATGCAGGGGGAGATGCAGGGGGAGATGCCCACTGCTGCTGCTGCTCCACATGTGAGCGATGATGGGCTGAGTTCTGTGCTTCCATCCAGGGAAACGGGAACAGCCAGTAGATAGCTTGGCTGCCACGTTCCCCGCTCCAGCTGAGGCAGGTGACAGGGGAGCCAGTTAACTTGGCAGCTGTGGAGAAAACCTTTGGAGTCCTAAACCCCCCCCAGGCTCAAATCCCTGGGCGAATCCAGTGGAACAAGATTTGTAGCTCTTCCCAGCTATGCCGGACATCCCAGGAATGCTGCATAACCTGGGCTGTGCGCTAGCAGGGGGCTGCCATGCTGTTGGAGGAAGGGGTCCACCTGAGGATCAGACCTTCCTGTTAGGACTCTGGCTTTCATTGCAGGGTTTGGAGTGACCATGTTGAGCAGGGCTGCAGTAGTGAGGGCCCATCCCATTGGGATTTGTGCCAGCACTGGGTGACACAGTTGTTCCCAGGGGTGCCCAGAGCAATGGGCTGTGGCCAGGGAGGCACTGGGGGGCTCAAGAGTGTGGCCATCCCATGGGACCTCTGTCTTTGTGCCTGGTCCCCACAGGAAAAAGGAGCATGTCAGGGGCTTCCCTCCCATGCCACCGGCTTGGGGCTGCTTGGGTAAGGGATTACAGCACTGGGAGGTTCTGAGGGGATGCCAAGCACATGCAATGTGCCCGGCTCCAGAGCATGGAGCAAGGGCCACTGTGGCCATGTAGCTGTGGGTGAATGGTGGTTGTTTTCCTAAGGCAGCAGCCAATTGGAGCACAGGGATCTGTGTGTCATTTGGGCACTGCAGGTGGGATGGAGCTGTGCAGTATGTGGGATGGGATGACCAGAGAGCACATCGTGTGGCAGTGGGGATCATAGGGGCACGTGCTACCCCCAGACCAGGCATTTCAGGATGCAGCAGTTGTCCTGCAGGCTGTGTGTGTGCCATAAATAAATACGTGTGTGTTTGTGGTTACGTTACCATCTTGGAGCAGTTGGGACCCCTGGGCAGCAAGCGTCTTTCCAGTGCAGGAAAAAGAAAGGGAAGCAAATGGTGTGGAAATGCATAGCAAATTGGGCTGCAAGACGCAGCAGGGCTCTCCCCACTGTGTGACCCCCAGCCCCAGGGAGGGGAATGAATTATCTGGGGGCAGGAGGGCGGGGGGAGATGCAGTATTCCATGGAGTGGGAATCTACACAAACCAGCGCTGGGTCTGCCTGAGAGGCAGGCAGGGCTTTGTCGGTTGGGTAAATGTTTGGTGGAAATGTGACACAGTGAAAGTACACGAGGTGTGAGATGCAAAGGGAGGGCTGGGAAAGCCTTTTAAGGCCTTTGTAAGGCTTTAAAGCCTTAAAGGCTTTCCTTAAACTGGACAGTGTCTTCCAGAAACCTGGGGGTTGTGGGGCTGAACATCCTCACCCCCCGGTGAAGGATCTGCATCGAGGGGCTGTTTTGGAGGAAGGGACCAGAAGATGGAAGTGAGTGTGTGATGTGGATCTCCAGGGCATCACTCGGTGCAGTCCCTGAGCTGCAATGGGTGCCGAGCACCGGGAGCACCCTGGGGCTAGCGGCTGCCCGAGGTGGGTCCTGGACTGTGCAGCAGGAGGGACTGGGGTCTCCAGTGGGAGCCACTGGGGCCTTCACACCGGGACTCGGTGGAAGCTGATGGCTCCGGGCGAGCGGCGAGTTAGGGGAGATGCTCACCAACAGCCCCCCCGCTGGTACCGGGCCCTCCGGGGAGAACGCGGCTCGGGAGCCCTCGCTCGCCGGCTGCCGGTACTGCACCGGTATAGCCGGCAATGCACCAGTGCTGCACCGGTACCGACCCGGCATTGCTTCGGCGTAGCCCTAAATACTGTTGGAGTACAGGTCTTGGAGTGCCCTGTTCAAAGCTCCCTTTCTGTCCCTGTCCCCGTCCTCTCCCTGCTCCGAGCAGCAGGAGCTGCTCCAAGGAACATCTGTGATTTCGTGGGCAAGGGGAATCTTCCTGGCAGGGGTACAGCAGGCTCGGTCTTCACCTGAAGCAGTGCCTGCTCCAGAGAGGTTTTCCTGTCAGAGCCCGGTCTCACTGGAACGCTGCCTGCTGAATCCGGAGCTGAATTTCCATCCACAGCTGAGGCAAACCCCAGCTGTCAGGTAGGATTCCTGTTAGGAAGTTGGTTGGTCGCTACAAGCTCCGTGTTAACCTGCCTGGGGCTAGGCGCTAGGATGGGACCAGCCCTATGAGCATCCTGCTCTGTACCAGTTGCATCCGACTCCGGGCACCCAGTGAGCTTTGGCACATGGGGCCTGGCAAAACTGGGTGATGAGCTCTGTGAGGCTGGGACTGCATGAGCTTTAAGGTCCCTTCCAACCCAAACCAGTCTGGGATTCTATAGGGCAGTTGCTGCACTATTATTATTGCTGTATTTGCAATAGCATCTGCAGCGCTGGCCCCTGTGCTCCCCTTTCAGAGCCTCGCCGTGGTTCTGTGCCGGGCTGGGCGCGTGCTGCAGGCCTGACCCCCACTCCCAGCACGGTTTCAAGCCAAACATTTTCTTCCTGTTTTCCCAAGCGCGTCTCCTGTTTCATGGGCTGGTGAAGGCGATGCGGGAAGGCGCAGAGCAAGTCTCTATGGCAACAGATATTTATCGCGCCCATGAGATGAGGCACAGGGCTGGGGAGCTTCAGCCTCTGGGATGGGGTCTGGGGAGCTGCCCCCATAATGCCCTATGGATGAGCCAGGACCAGGGCTGGGATGGCGCATCCTGCAGTTGGGTTTTTCCCGTTCTTCTCCACAGCTGTAAGGGACAGCAAGGCAGGCAGAGGGTGCTGAGGGCACCCAGGGCTCTTGGGGCAGGGGCTGGAAGCGCTGATTGACTTTGGGATCCTTCCGAGGCTCCCAGGCTGGGAGTCTGCTTTGCCCAGTGCCATTTGCAGGAGGCTCCTGGTACTTCCAGTCAAATACATTTAATTGCTTTGAGTGCTCAACATGTTTTATCTGTCCCTGGTCCAGCCCACACTGGTTGGACAGGGCTTGGAGCAAGCTGCTCTAGTGGAAGGTGTCTGCCTGTGGCAGGGGATTGGAACTGAATGAGATTTAATGTCCATTCCAACTCAAACAAACCTGCAATTGTATGATACCTTGAGCTGATAAAGAGGTTGGGGTAACGCAGACCTTGTCAAGGTCAGACTGAGCATCAGCATGTCCCAGTGAGCACCCCAAAGCTTGGGAGAGGCAACTCCCCCGGGATTCAGTCATCTGTGAGGAGCACGAATCACTCATTTGGGGAGGTTTGGGGAACTCTGCAATTATCTGAGACCAGGACTGGTTGTCTTCATGACCCACATCCCTCCTCATCTTCTCTGGTAGAGTTGCCTAGAAGCTGGGGGCCGCCAAGAAAGGAGGGCACAGCACTGTATATGGATTTCAGGTACATGCAGCCTGTGGGTATCACTGGGAATGTGCCATGCTGAAGATGGGATTGGGAATTACTTGTCCTGATGGGTCTCCAGTCACAGTGAAGCCACGGAGCAGACTGAGGGTGTCAAGGCCAACCTGGGCAGTAAAGATCCCTCTGTTGGGTTGCAAAGGGTCTGCTGTGCCCCCGGGAGTGGGGAGCGGTTTCACAGAGGGGCAAACCACAAAGGAGTGGGACAGGGGCATGCCTGGGTAGGAGCACCCAGGGGCTCCTCTGGATGTCCCCTACCTCAGTTACCTCTGATGGGCGTCAGCGCTTTCCTCCCCAGCATCCCAGCACCAGAGCGATTCCCAGCACCACCGGCAGGTCCTGTGCGGGCGGCAGAGGAGCACTGGAACCTGGAGGGGGGGGTCAGCGTTAGCCTGGGGCCAGGGGAGCGGCAGCGCCGTGTCCCGCCCACACCCGGCTTGTGCGGGGAATCGGCGCCCGCAGCCGCCCGCTCTGCGGCGGGAGCGCGGCGGTGGCGGAGACCGCCAGGGGTCGCTGTTCCCGCGGGAATCCCGGTGGAGCGCGACCGGTGCCCGCGCCCCGCTCCAGCGCCACGGGCAGCCCACGGAGCCACGCACACAGCACAGCCCGGGCCGCAGCCCCATTCACGCAGCACAGCCCGGGCCGCAGCCCCACTGCTGCAGCAGGGCCGGTGCTGTGGCCCCATTCACGCAGCATGGGCTTGATGGGCTCCAAGGAGCCGTCGTGAGGCTCAGGGATAATGCCCAGCAGCTGGCAGAGGAGGGCATAGACATTGACGCTTTCAAAGGGCTCCACCACCAGCCCCTGCTTGAAGGCCGGTCCCACGGTGCGGAAAATGGTTTTCATGTTCATGGCCTCGTTGTCAAAACCGTGTTCCCCTTTGTTGAACTGGACCTTGTACCTCTGAAAGGGAGTGGGAAGATGTGAGTGCCCAATCCCCAGCCTCAAGCTGGGTGCTCTCCTCCATGCCGTGTTTCCCAGCCACTGGGTTTAACACTCCAGGTCCTTTAGGTTTGGAAGCCTGAGGAAGTCTGGAAGCTGGAGGATGCTGCCCAGACACAGCTCTTGTGCAATCACATCTTGCAAGTTCCCTCCCTAAATGTCAGGGCACCCGAATTTTGGTGTATTGAGGAGCTTTGCAGGTGGAAGCTGCCTTTGGGCCTTAATGCCAGGTTAGGAGAGGACCCTGCAACTGATATTCTGTGTTCATGCAAGTCCTGCTCCAAGACTTCTGGACCTTTTGTCTTCTGAACAGAGAGGATCTTTACACAGAGCTGGAATTGCCATGTGGTTATAGGGAGATCAATCAATGGAGTGTGAGTACTGGGGTGCTATGAGAAGGACAGGAGGAGAGAGGCAGATCCCCACAAGACAGTAAGATGTGTGCGTGCGTATGTCTTACCCCGTGGATCACATAGCCTGGATCGCTGTACAGCAAGAGCGGGGTGATCCGAGGGTGGTTGGCATAATGGAATCTCCTTGGGAATTCTGCTTTCTTGTACACGTGAAGGTTTGGGTGGGCATTTTTCAGGACTGAGTACACGTGCTCTAGTTTTCCTTCTTTTGGTACCAGCAGTCCATTGGGTCCATAATCCAAGAGCTCGAACTGGATGTCTTTGAAGGTGAAGTTCTCTATGGTCTGGATGTGAATCTCGTTGGTCTTTATGACGGTCTCCATGCCGTGATCAGATGTGATGATAAGGTTGAGGTTTGATTCCAGGCCGCTCTCCCAGATGCGCTGCCTCAAGTAACCGATGGTTCTGTCCACCTGCCTGACCATGTTTTTCCTCTGTGTGGATTCGGGGCCATACTTGTGCCCTGTGGAGTCCGGCTCCCCAAAGTAGAGGGCGATGAAGTCAAGGTTGTTCACTGTGAACCATTCCATCGCAGTGTCGATGTTCTGCCTCCAGTTGGTTTCATTGCTGTAGTTGAACAGGAGGGGCTCCACCAACTTCATATGCACTTCCTCCCCTTGGTACTTTGCTTTTCCTCCAGGGAAATAGATAGAGCCTGTCTTTAAACCCTGTTAGTGGAGACATTGCACAAACTCACTCTGCAGCATCATCTCCATCCATCGGTGCTACCACCTACTAATATGGTTGGTTCATTCAGCCCCCTAATGTCTACCTCTCCCTCTAATGAGGTTTTCTTGCTCATTGCCAATTAAAAGTGATCAATTGGAAGTTCTGCCCTTCCCAGAACTCCTGTCTGTTGGTTTCTCACTGTATTGGTAACACTGGTTATAACTTTGAACACAGTGACCTGTTTGTACCTCTCATGTTGGCCATGAGGACGTTCAGGTGTGTTTTACTCCAGTCAGTAAGTGCTCACCCTGAAACCAGTGGAGCCAATTTGGCAGGCAAATGCAGGCAAAGGGACGTGTCTTGGGCCAAGCCTCAGGTCCTGTCCCAAAGCCAGGTTCAAAGCCTAAGGGGATCTAGGACAGCCTTGCTGCAGTCCTGGCTCCTGGTCCTCCCTAGGGAGTAGGCTGAGGTTTCTTTAACAGCAGAAGAATAACCAGTTTTATTAATGTCTTAATGAAGCTGAAACAAAAATATTACTTTTCACTATTTTTAATAGAATGATCCCAATTATTCCTGTGCTGTCCGGGGCTTCCAGGTCCTGCAGGTCTCAGTACGAGCTGTTTGCAGGAGGTGTCAGCTCGTGACCACTGGAGATGGGGGCTCGCCTGCAGCTTTTACTGCTGGAGGCTCCATCGGAGGCACTCCAGTGGGTGCTGGCCAGGGGCTGCACTTGCCTGTCTCTGTGCTGTGATCCAGATGGGCAGGCTGCCGTTGTCCCACCAGCCGTCCACCCCTTGCGTGCTGTGGTAGGGCAGCTTCTGACCCGTGCTGGTGTTGAACCACATGTTGTGGATCACCCCGTGGTTCTCCAGGTACCTCCCTGTGGCGAGAGATGGGCTGAGTGGGGCTGCAGATGGGGTGGGCTCTTCCCCCTATGCCTCGGACCAGGTGGGGTTCCCAGGGCAGGGAATGATGCTTGGGGGTGCCTGCTCCTCACAGCAGGGGTTGATGCCAAGCAGGTCTCATCTGGACCCCGAGCACTCCTGAGGGTGCTGGTGCTGCCTATAATTCCCCCTGCCCTTCTCAGCATGAAAGGGGCTCCCCATTATCCTGTGTCTCACTAATGGCTTTGGTGTTTTGCTCTCTCTGCTGCTCACAGCCCGTGAGGAGGGCATGCAGTAGAAACTCCCTTTAGAAATGGCAAACTTGCACTCTGTACTATTATATTTCATGCTATTATTATTATTCTGGTCCTGAAGACTGCAGTTACTTGTGCACCGTATCCCATCCTCCCTTATATTGACAGTGCCCCCCTGCCTTTTCCCATCAGCAGATTTCATTAGCATGTTCCACTCTTTTATGCCAAGGTTATTAATTAAAATCTTAAATAAGATTGGCTCTGAAATCGATTCCTCAGGAATTCCCCTGTTGCCCTCCCTGCAGCCTGACAATCTCCTCTCAGCATCACCTGCCCTCCTCTCCCCTGTAGCTCTGTACTTCCCATATTAGAGGTTTTGGATGAATCTTCATCTTCTCCATCTTAACTAATGATTTCCCATGTGCCACTGGATCAAATACATTACTGGAGAGCAGAAAGATTGCATTTAGAGCATCTCCCTTGTCTCAAAAATAATTTATCTTACTGAAGGAGGCTATGGGCTGGGCTGGTGCTCTTTACCCTTGATAAACACAGGTTCAGTCCTAGCCCTTCTGCAGCTATGGCCTTGTCGCACCCTGAGTGGGGAATCTGGGGTAGGACAGTATTATATGGAACGTTATGCCGTGTTGGTGCCTTTGTAATTAGATTTGAGTGTTTGCGATGTTGCAGCGTGTGTTGTACTCAAATATGTACACGGATTAAAGGCTATCGATATTTGGCACCTATATAACATACATAGTGTAGGTGTACTGATAAAAACAAAGGGAGGACATTGCAGGAGAGGCTAATTTGTGCCAGAGCTCAGCACTAGTGCTTAAAGCAAAGGAAGCCTCAGGCTGCTTCAATTGTACTTTAATCTTGTTTGTGGCTCTGGCAGATAGGGAAGTAAACTTTAACTGCAGCTATCATGGAACAAAAGAGAAGGAAATCACAGAACCAAGGAATGGTTTGGGTTGGAAGGGACCTCAAAGCTCCTCCAGTTCCAACCCCTGCCATGGGCAGGGACACCTTCCACTAGAGCAGCTTGCTCCAAGCCCCATCCAACTGGGCCCACCTCTCCACCCTGTCGAGGTCCCTCTGGATGGGACCGAATGGGATGGAGAAACATCTCACATGCAAAAAGGCAGTCTGGAGGGTGCAAGAGAAGACCCCAGGCTGTGAACAGGACTGGATGAGGAGAGGTGCCACTGAGAAATGAAGCAACCTGTAGAGACTATAAATCCAGTAAAAACTGACAGGCGCCCAGCTCGAGCTGCTGATCACACGCATTAGGAGTAAATCTATGCCAAAGAGTTAATCTGATATGGTGTTAAAGCAGGACTTAGGGTGAGCCCTGTTGGGGTGGCCTCTGTAATTCCTACCATGCTCTAGGTGGTGGCTGTGTAGTTCCTGCAGCATCGGGTGCTGTTTGCCTGTGCTCAGTGCAGGTCCAGCTCTACCACTTTCTGCAGTAGCTGTTGCCTGGTCTCCATTCTACAGCTTCTCACACTGCTGATGCTGGGTGGCTGCTTGACTCCATGTCCTGCACTGACACCCAAGCCTCAAACCTGCCCTTCCCCGACCGGCACTGCTGCCGTGTGCTTGGGGCTGGGGCACTCACCCGTCAGTAGTGTGAAGTGGCACGGGCTGGTGATGGTGATGAAGGCAGGAGTCATGTACTGAGCCTTCATCCCCTCTGCAGCCATCGCCTCCAGGTTGGGGGTGTCCACATCCTGGTCGTAGTTCCACCGAAAGCCATCAAAGGACACCAGGAGGACTTTGCTGCGGGTGGGTACCTGCTGCACAGGGACGCATCTTGCTACAGAGAGAGCAGCAAATAGGAGCCCCAGTGAAGGGATCATCTTCATGCCCTTGAGCTGGAACAGCCCAGACAGCCAGAGAGCTCCCATTAATACATGCGGGGTGGGACCAAGTTCAGTTCTTATCTAATCTTGCAGTTGCTGCTCAGGTGCATGGCTTCAGTCAGCACTGCACATCGGAATGAGCCTCTCTAGATTCCATCTAACTCAAGTGCATTAGCTTCCATCTCCTTCTGGGTCCGACACTGAATCTGCTCCTCCATCAGTGGCATTGGGTGCTCTTCAGTGCTGATGGGAAGAGCGGCTCCTGTGGCAGGAGGCTGCTGTGTGAAACCCAGCCCCTGCCACCTCCTTCACCCTGAGCTGGCTCCCTGCAGCCACACTCGCAGGTTCTGGTGCCCTGCTCTTGCATCAGCAGTTCACCTTCAGAAGGGAACTCCCCCCCTCCCAGGGCCGCTCCTCCAGCTCCAGGGGTGCTCAGAGGTTCCAGAGGAGCTTGGATTTCCTGGAGGTTCTCAGTGTGGTTTTGTAGAGCTACACACTGGGGAAAGAGGCTCTTTCCCGATCCTGGCCACACCGTCAGCCCCAGTGATGCTGCAGAGGGTGAGCCCAGCTCCGAAGCCTCTCTGTGCCACCACCCAGCTCCTGCTGTCCTGGCTCTGCTGCTCACCATGGGTGACCCTCATCTGCTCTTTCACTGATGAGCTCTGCGTTATCAGCATCCCATTTTATCAATAGCTGCTGCTTTATGACTTCTCTGGGGTTTAATCATTGCTGACAACCCATTTCTCAGCTGACTTTAAGGCTTTTGTGTACATATGTATCAGAGGATGCCCTCGTTCCCCAGGGCCTGAGCTCACAGCCTTTGTGCCTTTGCTGATCTCCCTCTGCTCAGCTTCCAGATTTATTCCTTGGTGCTTTGCTTCCCAATTGCCCAGCCATCCCCTCCCTCGCCATGCAGAGCCATGGTTTCCCTGCCATTGTCTGGGGTCATTCCTTGGCATTTCTCCCCCGGGGTGAGCTGGCACATGAGTCTCACACACATGCCACCGTTCATCCTTCCTGCTTCTCTGTAGACATGAGCATCCCTGAGTATTCCCGTCTGGACCAGTTCCTCCGGGTGCACCAGCATCTCAGCCGCCTCTCCCCCTGTGCTTGTGTTGCCCAGGGTCGCGCAAGGACACTGTGAGAGGTTTCAGTTCACAGAAGCTGAGCAAGCTCCTCTGCCAGCCCCGGTGCTGCAGTTCACTCAAGGAACTATTTTGTTATCAACGTTTGCTGCCTGGGTCCAATCCTGTCCCCTCAGCGAGCACAGAGGGTCCTGGCAGGCACTGAGGGTTCAAAGGGCTCATATGAGAAAGATGTTATCGTGTTCCAAGCACAGGGAAAGCTCTAAATATTCAGTGTGTTGTTCCGAGGGGTCAATAAGTGTCCGTGCCATTGCTAACAGCACAGGGGAAGGTCCCGATAGGTTATCGTGTTCATCAGCTCGGCTGGCAGGGAAGAGGCTAGAGAGGAGGCAGCACTGCTCTAATCTCAGGGGAATATTCAGTTACAGGAGTGTCTCAAGGCCCCTTTTGATATTTGGTATCTGAGGAGCAATAGGCACAGATAAAGAGCATCACCTTTGCCCACCCTGCCTCGGACGCTGTCATTCTCCAGTTAAAAGGGCTGATGCAGTTTACCCTGCACTAAGGTGCTCATCCCATAGGCAGATGTGCCCGAGGGGCTGTGGTCACTCCAGGTCACATCTGCACTAATAGGGAAGGTGGTCCCTGTGCACGTGTGCTGGGGACTGTCGCCCCCCCCATGCTTGGGTACCAAATAACTCAGAGAAGACAGATGAAGGGGCTGGCAAATAGAAATCAGGAGCCCAGAGAAGCCTCCTGCCACTGGAACTGCCCCCTTTGGCTGGGTCGGGGCTCAGCCCATTTCCAGCCTTTGGAAAAAGGACCCCGTGGGTAAAGCCGCAGCTTCCCTGCAGCTGGTGGGGTCTGTGCAGGGGGAGCAGCTCGGCCACGCAGGACCAGGCCATTTTCCTTCTTCATTTTTTACTTTCAAAGGGAAAATCAACCTGCAGGATTCTCAGCTGTGGCCACAGCTGCTCCCAGTGATGGGACTGGTGGTGCTGGGGCCTCACAGCTGAGCCTGGCTGCAGGGAGGTGCTGGGGCTGCTATAAAAGCCCTGCACACCCTGCAGAGCGCTTCTGGTGTTGCTGTGCCTGAGTGCAGAGGGAGGAAGCCCTGGGAACGGGAAGGATGGCAGAGCCCTGGGTCTGAGCCACGGCGAGAGAGGTAGGATGGGCGATTGGGGGGTCCTTGGGAGGGTGTGTGGCTGCTGTCCCTGGGGAAGGGCTGAGCTGCAGCCCCCTCCCGGGCATTGGGCAGTGGGAAATAGCACACTTGGACATGGAGGATGTGTTGATGAAGAGCAAGTTGGGTTTTTCTTTTCCTTGCCTCTCTGTCCTGCTTGGAGCAACTGCTCTGCAGATTGGTTGCACGGTCCTGGTTGCTAAGGTGTTGCATATGGAGCTTGCTGGAAAAGAGGGTGAAGGGAGGGGAAAGATGTCCAGAGGATGAGGAGAGAATTGAATAAAGCAGCTGGAGGTGCCCTGGGTTGCTCTTTGCAGTGTGGTATAGCTCAGACAAGGGCTGCATGTCTGCAGTGCTTCTCTTGGCCCCCAGCGTGTGACTGCCCCAGAACTGGGGCCTGGGTAAGCTTGTGAGCATCACCGGGATACCTGGAGCTGGGACCTCATGGTTGAAGTCCTAATGGTGCCCAGGCAAGCAGAGCCAGGAGGAGCTCTGCATCTGTGTCTGAGTGATTGTGAGGGGTGTGTGTGAACCTACTGGGTATGTGGGGGAGCTGCGGGAGCTGCTCCAGCAGGCGATAAAAGAACTGGTAATGGCCTCAAAGCCAGGAGCAGAGCAGTAGGGATAGGGTGTTGTTGCTCGTAGCCAAAAGCCAGGAGCAGCCCCAGGCTTGGCTGGAGCCCTGAGGAGAAGGGTGCTCCCGCCGGGCAGCTCGGGAGGACTGGAAAAGGCTTAAGGAGGTTGGGAAAGAGGCTTTGGCTGCTGCCGGGAGCTCTCGAGCAGGGCTTGGGTGTCGGTACCGGAGTTCGGGTCTTATCCCCTCGGACCCCCCCATCCGCGGCAGCGCGGGCGTGCGCCGGACCCGGCCGCCAGGTGGCGCCATTGAGCCGCCTGCGGGGTCTCAGGGGCGGCCCGAGGGCAGCTGCGGGTCCTGCGGTAGCGGGCGGGGGGTCCCGGTGATGCCCCATCACCCCCTCGGTAGTACCCTATCCCCTTGGTAATGCCCTCTTCTCTTCTGCAGTGCCTTAACCCCCGGTAATTCCCCCCCCCATCCCCGAGTGTTGCTTGTTGGGTCCGGAGGGAGCTGGGTTGGGTTTGATGGACACATGGTCAGCGTTTGAGGCTAAGCAGGGGCAGGTGATGCAGCACCATGACCCCCACATCCCGTGCCTGGGTCATCCCCAGTTGGGTCCACCACGGGGCTGTGGGCTCTGGGAAGCGGGATGGTGCGCAGCCTGCAGTGGCAGTTGTAAGGTCTGGTGATACGTGTGGATGAAACACGTGTCCTGTGCTCCGAGAGGGCCAGGAGCAGCCTCCTGGGATCAGGGCTCTAAGTTCAACCCAGGGGAGAAGGGAGCCTGCCATTGAGTTGCTGCTTTGCTCTTCTTCATGGGTGCATACAGAAACTCTGCCTAAAGCACAGCCTAGGGTCAGCAGCACCTCTGTTTACATGGGTTGGTGCAAGACCTTCTTGGGAGGGTGACCTCTTCACCATCTAGCTCGAAGCTCTTCCATAGGATGGTCCTTGGGGAGCAATCTAGCAGAGCTTGAGGTGAAAAGAGGGACAAGAGCAGAGAGGAAAGAGTGGGGTGAGTGAGGCTTTGCTCACGGAAGTCCCATTCCCCTTCTGGGTCTGGTTCCCCCAGCAATGGCCAGTGCCTGAAGTTCACTGGAGCCTTTGGTCCACTGAAGAAAGCCCCTGGCTCTTGCTCTCCATGTCCAAGTGATGTCCCTGGATGATGATGAGGTGCTCTAATCCCTCTTCCTTGCCAGCAGCGGTCCCATTCCCTCTCTTGCCCTCATCACCATGATGAATGGTCCACAGTCTCAGCACCTGGCTTTGGCCTTAGCTCCTCTTCCTGCTCCCTGCTGGGGATCTGAGACCAGAGGAGCAGCGTGGGATCAGGCTCTGTTCCTCACTTGGAACCTTTCCTCTGCTGCTTGGTTAAACCCAGCATTGACTGCTCCATCAGAGCCCCGGGCTCGTTCTCAGCTTTCTTAGCTAATGGCTGTGTCTGCCTCCCATTGATCTCAGCTGCAGAGCTCATTGATTAAGTACATTTCTTATTATACTTAATGGTATTTTACTCCTTTCTGTGCTTGCCTTGTGCCAGATGCTCACCCTGTGCTGCTGCCTGCCTGCAGAAGAATTCCTCTGGTCACAGCCTCCTCTATGCTGGCTCTGCTTGACTCCTCAGTCACCAGCCTTGCCTGTCCTCCCTTTTGCTTTCCCTGCCTGCCCCATCCTCCTGGCCAGGGCAATCTCTCTGCCTTCTGCCTTCCAGTTATTTGCCCCTTGGTCCCTGCTCCCATGCCTCCTCTCAGGTCTGCTTCTCCCTCAAGCAAAGCAAAGAGGCATCCACTGTTCCCAGTGTTCCAGGAGGGCTGTGAGCCTCCTGGGTACCCTGTGCTGTACCCTGCCTCTGCACAGCAAATCCTGCCTCTCACTAGGCTGCCAGGGACTTCACACCGAAATCCTTTCCATCCTGGTGGTGCCTCCCTCACTGCCGCTGCCCCAGCCCTGGTGAGAGGCACTGGCAGGTCACCGTGTTCTCCTCTGCCTTCCCTCAAGCACCTCCATTCTCACCTCACACCACACACGCTGTGCTGCCTCACTCTGTGCCTCACCTCCTTTCAACTCCCTTGCATGCATCATTCAAAAGCCATAACATTATTGGGCATAAAATATTTACTTAACTGAGCTTTTTGCAAATATTCCCCTCCATTATTTTTCCTCCTTTTGGGAGCAGACACCGCTGCTCCTGTGCTCTCAAATGGTTTCTCTTAAATAATATAACAAGAACATATGAACACCCAGTAGCCTTTCCCTTTCTCTTGAAATACCCATAAATATCCTGGTGTCACCGGTCCATTACAGCCCCACCAGGACCGGGGCTTGGGAACACCCAGCAGCACTGGCATGGTCTGCAGGTTCGCTTCCCACTGGAAGAGGGACAGATAGGGAAGGAGCTTGGGGGGGAGGCGGAGCAGAAATGTGTGAGATCTGACACGATGCAGAGTGTTAATATTAATAAAGAAATGTTCTTTTTGGAAGGGGCATGGGAAGCTTAGCAGAGGGAGTGCAGGACTGAATGCTCGCAGTTAGAATGCTGGACCAACTGCTTGGAATGGGATCTCCTGCAGCAGCCAAATGAGTGGTCCCAGGGGGAAAACAGGGGTTCTCTGTGAGATGGGGGTACTGGGAGATGCTTCCCACTGCAGGCAGCCGGATGGGCAGCCCTCAGCACCTCTTAGAGAACAGGATAAGGACCGACGGGTGCTTGAAAGCCAGAGAGGGAGGATGTTTGTCTCGAGTAGAGGGGAGTGCTGGCTGGGGAGTGCGTTTTCCCCATGCATGAAGGTTGGTTGGCTGCTCACAGCGTTCCCGGGCACGGATTCGTGCTTGGGCCCTGGGGGCTCTCCCCACAGCGGTGCCACGGGAGAACGCACCGGGGTCCGGCTCTGGCTGCGCTGGGCCCCGTGTGGGGCTGCAGCTCCCGGCCGCGGGGCTGGCGCTGTCCGTGGTGCTGACGGCGGCGGCGCCCGGGCACTGTGAGGGCTCCCCGGTGCTGGCCACCCTCCGGCGGAGCCTTCGCTCCGTGCTGGTTCCACCAGTGCCCGGAGGAGGGAAACGGCTGCCCAAGGCCTGACTGAGCGCCCCGGTGCTGGCTGAATGTCCACGGGGTGCTTGGGCTTGTTTTCTGTAAGGTGTAAAATCGCACTGAGGAAAAACCGCAAAGGGCAGGTAGACTGAGACTCAGTCTGACTCTTAGGCAGAAGCTCTTCCCTGTGAGGGTGCTGAGGCGCTGGCACAGGGTGCCCAGAGAAGCTGTGGCTGCCCCATCCCTGGCAGTGCTCAAGGCCAGGTTGGACACAGGGGCTTGGAGCAAGCTGCTCCAGTGTTAGGGGTCCCTGCCTGTGGCAGGGGCTGGAGCTGGAGGAGCTTTAAGGTCCTTTCTAACTCAAACCATTCTGCGGTTCTGTGATTCTACGAAAAAACCATCACCACTGCAGTGATAAGAAACAAAATAACTGAAGGACCCTGTTCCCATATACGTGTGTCACCATTCTCACACGATCTGAGCCCCCGGGAACTCACTGCCTCTAAAGAATCAACTAGTTAAATCAGACACACAAGAAGGAGGGCCTGAATTTGTGTCCCACACCTAGGAGAGCTTGCTTGGAAGCTAGTAGTCTGCTATCCCATCTGCCGGCACCAATGCTGATGGCTGGCTTTTATCAGGAATAATGGAAGCAGCTTAAACATCAAGCTGATGGGACAGGGTGGTGGGAGCACCTCACGGTGTAGGTGGTTGGGTGGCAAAATGGCAGATGAATGCCGCCAAATCCAATGATTAGATGAGAACATCCTTCACTCCAAAACACGAAGCAGACCTTTACTGTGATATTCCCTGCTTGGGAAAAGAGACCTCGCAGTCGCTGTGGGTAGCTCCATGAAAATGCCATCTCAGTGCCCAGTGTCAGTCAAATAAGGCAAATTGCTTGTTAGTAGTTCCTGGGAAAGGGACTGAAGCAGAGGCAGCAGCAGCGCTGCCGGGGTGCGATGTGTCGCAGTGCAAATGCTGAGTGTGGCTTTGGTTGCCCAATCATGAAAAGGAGGTAGTTGAACTAGAAAGGTAAAGAAAAGGATGACAAGGCTGATCAAAGGCACAGAACAGCTTCTGTCTGAAACTAATAAATTAGCACTCTCTTGGTTAGAAGGGAGACTGTAAAGGTGGTGCAGGAAGGAGTTCTCTAAATTCAGGAGTGGTATAAGGGAGATGGATAGTCACTATTTCTCATAAATAGGTGGCATCAAATGAAACAACCTGGCAACAGGTTTAAATTGTAAATGAGGGAAAAGGTGCTGCTCTTTTCATGCAGTGCTCAGCACCCCTGGGCGGCTCAGGGACACTTAGCCCCTGATGCAGGAGCAATTAGACACCTCATGGACCGTGGGTGCATCAGCAGGGATTAGGTGCCACGGGCAGCTGCTGCTGCTCTGTCCTTCGCTCTTCTGCAGTAGCTTTATGGCCACCTCGGGAGCTACGGGGTCTCAGTGGTCCATGGTGTCAGCCAGCCCAGGCTTAGGGCATGCACTGGTGTCACTGTGGCTGGTTTCAGTGTTTCCCTGTTACAGCCAAGCGAGCAGACTTGCCCTGTAATGCCGGCAAATCCCTGCTCCTGAGGAGCCGGTAATTGATTTCCCTGTTCTCCATCTCCCCCCGGCCAAGGCTGTGCTGACACCTCCCTGCCCGCGCTCCCGTCACCGGCTGCGACAGGCAGATCCTGGAATTATTGATAAACACTCATTGGGGCTGGAGCCTGGGAAATTGCCAGCAACCCCAGCGGGTTTCTCTCTTGCCAGCATCATTTTTCTTGCTGACAGCGTGTTCCCAAGTTCGCCGGGGAGGGGGCAGGGCCTCCTGCTAACTTCTGGGGGGGTTGAGCATTGGTTCTTTTAAAAGACACCTGTGTAAAAGGGGAGAGGAGAGCCCCGGGAGCCGTTATCTCTGCCCTCCAGTCTGTCCCTAGAGAGCCCTGGACTGGAAACTGCTCTGAGCTTTTCCCAAGCCTATGTTCCCCCTCATGGCTCAGTTCCTCTCCAGGCTCTTGATTTCTTGATCTTGACATGACAGATCCCTGTTTCTTTCTCCAAACCCTCTATTCCCACAGGCTGTTACGTTACAGTCTGAGCCAGGGAAGGAGCCACTGTTAGCACAGGAGCAGGACATCACTGTCCAGAGCTGGGCCCATCCCTGAAGAACCAGGCACTGGGAAGTGCTGGCTCTTCCCTCCCCGGGGGCCAAGGTTCTGCTCCCACACCTCCCATGGGGTCCCTCCCAGTGCAGTGGGGCTGTCCTGTATGCTGTCCGTGCCCGGCCTGTGTTGCGCATACGGATGTGTGCGGGGCACTGGGGCTCTGGCTGTTGCTCTTCCTGGAGCTTGAAGCATTTTTCTCTCTGCC